ATGGAATATTATTCAAAATTTTAAATGATATTTATTTATTAATGCCTAATGTGGAATTCAAAAGCTGACTATATATACTAGGTATACTAAATATTGATTTACAGCTTACATAGAATTAAGCTTAATTTGTTCAACTTTTGGAAGTTTAGTAAAACCTCATGCAGAAATTATAGTACGAGCACTTCAGAATCTAAATAAAAAATATATATTATTTAAAAATATGTTCTTTTACGAGAAGAATTTTCAAAATTTAGCTAGAATAATACAAAAAGTGCGGGATGAGGTGGGATTTTTATTTATTCCTTCAGCAGGTTTCCACATTACTCAGGAGGTAGGTACTGCATTTTTACCTATCTTACAAAAATTATATTTAGATTAATAAAGGCACAACCGCACAACAACAAAATGTACAAGCACAGTAGGTATATGAAACTCAACGATTTAACACTGAACTATAAAAAAACATGAATATTTTTATTTACTCTGGTATTTGTGTGTTAATATAATAGTATATTAAAATAAAAATGATCTTTTATAATTATTTGAATTATTTTTACATGAATTCACAACGCAATAATGTATTTTACGCTTGCATTTTTATCACCACTTTTAATTTTAACGCTAAGGCAAAAACTAAACAGAAATAAGAAACTATAAACACGCATAGATCTAATTAATAAGCTTTGTTTACTATAACATTCCACGCCCCGCCCAGTCTTTTACAACGGCTGATAAGCGAGCCGCACAGATCTCGGGACTGACTCTGCTGTCTTCCGTATATATACTGAGGTACTACCCAACTTTGTGGGCCTCAATGTCTACAAAAATTCGCGTATTATCCCCGCCTTGCGGGGGTGCCGGCGGCACCGTGCAGCGGTGGGGAGCATGATGTTGTATCGGCAATGTGTGACGTATATGAAGCGCACATTTTTGGGATTATTTTTTCCCTATTATGCGGTCGGGCAATAATTTAAGCGTTTAGAATTAAAGTTGGAATTTAAAGGAAATATTTTAAACTTTGATGGTTATTCGATGTTTTGATACTTTTAATGACTGGAAATTAGTTTAAAAACGTTTTATATTTAAATAAGTAATGTATCGAACATTTCAGATTATATTATAATTTTAACATGTGAGGCCCGGCCTCAGTTGCTTTATACGACGAGCCGCCACTGGTACGAGTGCTAAATGTCTGAGCTATATCTCAATGCCTGAGCTATATCCTTATATTACAGTCGTTGGGGTTAAGTTATAAAAATTCAACTATAAGTACCACTACGTAAAACGCCAAATTGTGTACAACTGAAAATCTAATTAAACGTCACACATAAGTAGGTAGGAAATTTTATGAGATTATATTGCAGTTGCTATAGTTTCGATGTTGATAAAGTCGCTGGTTTGGTGCAAGACTATTTTCACTACGTAAAACGCCAAATTGTGTACAACTGAAAATCTAATTAAACGTCACACATAAGTAGGTAGGAAATTTTATGAGATTATATTGCAGTTGCTATAGTTTCGATGTTGATAAAGTCGCTGGTTTGGTGCAAGACTATTTTCAAAGAATTGGAGAAAAACACTATTAAACATTTCTATTTATTGTAACTAAATTGTTTTTATAAGAATGGGGTAGTTAAATTTTTTCTGGCCTATACTTTTTATGGTTTTATTCAAGGCGTTTTGTAATATTAAACATTTCTGTGAAATCAGAATTTTAATTGAGTTTACCGTTTTCGAGATATTTACAAAAAATATAAATTTTTATGACGTCACAAACCTCGCCATGTGACCAACATTCTAAGATTTCTATTGGTTGAAAATTACCCTGTTGTCAAGTTGTCTTGTTAATGATTTCATTCGGTTATGTCAGAAAATACCTGAAGAGGTTATGTACAAATACTGTCACTGTCAGTTGAGTGAAAGATGGTCACCAAATTCATTAAGTACCTATCTTCCTTATTACGAGGTATCATATTACTGTTTGATATTTTAGACTCCAAGATATATCTAAAAGAATATAAAGAACTAGGCATTATACTAATGAAATGCATTTACGACAAAATATGATTATAATTATAGGTACTTACTTTATTTGTTTAAAAGCTCCAATGTTCAATGTAACCAACCATGCCACAAGATTCCCCTGCTTTGGAGTCCGTTATTATTAAATCACTTATCTAATATAAATTACAAATAACATAACAATAACATTGATTTTTAAAAATCTAAATTTAAAAAAAAATATAACCCGATAAAAAGAAACGTCAAAAAATCAATTCTTCTTCTTCTTCTCAACTAAAATTATAGATCAAGTGGTTTTAAAACTAAAATATTATAAGGTGGCGCCATCTATCATAAGAATCTTAAACTAAACACACTGGCAACCATAGAAAAAGCTGGCAACGTTGTCAATAGCCTAGTGACGTAATTAGGAGATTTTTTTTTGTAAATATCTCGAAAACGGTAAACTCAATTGAAATTCCGATTTCACAGAAATGTTTAAAATTACAAAACGCCTTGAATAAAACCATAAAAAGTATAGGTCAGAAAAAATTTAACTACCCCATTAAAAAAATACACTAAGATTAAAAAAAACATTAAGAGAAGCCACAAATTTAATTACTGCGTCATTGGTTTTGAAAATTTTATGTTTTTAAATATCTTCTATAAAACTATTTATTTAAAGCGTACTTTATTTTGACGACTGTATGCCATTTTCCAACTTAAAGCTTTCAATTCTGTTGCATACCCCATTTTAAATGGCACTGCACGCCACTGCCCATACTTTAATTCGTTTATTGGGCATTTCCTACCTGTACTATAAGGAGATCCATTATGATACAGATTTCTTACCTACAGAAATGCCATAAACGGCAATATTCTGTCAGCATCGACTGTTGCCTTGAAAATCTGACATATTTAATATATTTGAGAAAGTTTGTGAACATGTGCACTAGTGAAAATTGAAAACCCTGCCAGAAATTGTATGAGGCCGCAAAAGCCGCACTCAACTTGTCATAATTTTCATGCTTGTATTTAATAGCCATCATTCAAAGGTCGTTGCATAATAAACTCAGTGGCGGCTCGTGGGTGTACAGGAGGGTGAGGCTACATAAGGTTAATTTTGTCTAAATACGAATAAATTTCCACGTCACCCGGGAGGTATTATTCTGCGACGCGTTGACCTTTTTTAAAATGGAGCCGATAGCACTACTAAACCAAAAAATAAACTCTAAAAAACAAAACAAACAAAATATCACATCAAAGACTAGTTTTAATCTTAAACTTAAAAATATAGTCTTAAAAAAGTTAAAAATAAATAAATTAATCAAAAAATAAAAATAAAACTAAAAAGTCGACCCCTACCTAAGTATTAAAAAATATAAAATACTATACGTCTATCTTTTAAGATTGAAAATTTATCTATTATTTGGTCGTAAAATTGTGAGTCTGCAGTGAGATTTAAAAGTAATTCTAAATTTTCAAACCGCGTCTCTAATTGAAGAATTATGCAATCTATTATTTCAAAATGTAAAATTTGCTTAATAAAAACTGCTAAATCTACCTTAGTGTGTTCCCTACAATAATTAAATAAGAAATTTTACTAATCGAGACAAAAACTATAAAAGATCAGCCAAAAGTTTTAAATAATTTAATCTGAATCAAAACAATAACGTGCTCTACAAACGCTAAGAGAAGACTGGCAACCTTCTTTGTCTCCGCTGGCATCCCACCATAAACGGACCACCAATCAGAACAAACCAAGCCAACTAAATTTCGCCTCATCTACGGTGTTTATTCGCGAACTTACGGCGATATTTTTGTTGGTGAGTCATTTTCGCTTTCAAGGGGTAAATGGGAGCTTCCGAGGCTGTGAAAATTTCGCCTCTGTCCAAGCGACTCTCAACGATGCACGTTAACTTGACGCGCTTTGCGCCTGGATTTTTATTTACGCTTAATATGATTGATTGGTTTTTTACTTTTTTTGGGTAGAACTGTTTTAAAAATACACTTGTAATAGGCAAAAATATAAATACAAAAAGTCGTTCGTTCCTTCATTTTAAGGGTGAGGCGCGGCCTCAGAGGCCTACCCTGACGAGCCGCCACTGAATAAACTAATATTGATTATAATATAATACTTAATTCAAATTGAAACACGTATACCACAATCTCTTTATTAATAATACTTTAGTTGTATAAATATATGCATATATTATTTCTCCATGGGGAAAATAACTTTTATAATGTATTAAATATTTAATAATAATAATAAATTATAATGTGAAAATTTATTTTTGATTAATTTGTTATAAATATTTAATTGTTGTACATGTTATTGTTGAAAGCAAATTGTTCACATTAATAAATTAAACGTTAATTATACTATTTGTTTGAAAACTAAACGTTGTTCGAAATCCGAATTATTATTAATAATTTATTATTATAATAATGCTTTATAACAATAACAATGCAAACGTACACATTTAATAATTACTAGTGCACAAAATAAACTCGAAAGTGGACTTAACATACCTATCTGAAAACTAACTTAACTTAATTTAGAAATATACCGCGGTATAACGGACACCCTAATATACAATGTACTATGCTCCATACCTCAAAGTCCCACCACGTGACCACGTACGGAACGCAGTCTTTTGAAAATTTGGCATTTAAGGCTTTTCAGGTTATGTATCTGTCAAAGTATAGTCAACGAAAGAAATAATATTATGTTTAAGCGTTAAAAGTTAATAAACCTTTATAGTATCACAATAACAATAAATACTGCATTTTCAAAAGACTGCGTTCCGTACGTGGTCACGTGGTGGGACTTTGGTGTTGAACGTAATAGAAAAAATGTCAAAAATTAGCATGTATTTTAACTATTCTTCTTGCCCCGTATGCATTTTTCTTTTAGTATGGCGAAGCTGCGCGTTAGCTGAGGTGTTTTACGTGGCAACAACTCCCGAACTCCCGTACTCCCGTATCTCGTAGTGTGCGCGGAAACTTTCAGTGAAGCGGACCAGTTGCTTACAGGCTTCCCCAAAGCCTCCGTGTTAGTGCCATGTTACGTGATTATTTTTCCGGAGCACTTTCATAAACAAACTTTGACGGAGATACAAATAAAAGCAGTGTTTGACCCCAAGTGTTTGTTTGCGTCTTAACATTCCAGTAAGTTATAGGTATGGAAAAAATATAGTAACATTTACTTTAACAAATTTTTAGGGTAACAATATTATATATTCGTTAATACAATATTAAGATTGTAATACAAAATACTATTTTTTATTATACAATTTTAGTAAAGATTACACCAATATTACTAAATCATAAATGTATAATATATATTTTAATTTTTAATATGTTCCTATAGTAAATTGATTTTACTATCTACAAATAGTAATATTTACTATATGATTTAATCAATTGTAAGGTGTACATCTAAAATTATAATATATTACACATATAGTAAAAATAAAGATACTACTATGTTTAAGGTAAATAAACAATATATATAAATATAATATACAATATAGTAACTCATGACATTTTAAACATTCAATTTTCTTAGTTTCTTCAATAAACTTTCTTGACCCATTACTGGAAATACTTATAAGAAAGAATTGAACCTACTTGGTTGCATAGTATGTACCGATTGCGGCAAAAGCCACGTCGCGACGCGTCGTTAGACGGTGTGGATCACGTGATGTTCTTACATCTCGCCTCTGTTGGCTTACCAACCATGTTATATAAGCTTAGGTATTTCTTTGTTTTGGGTGTGTTCCACTACTACAAGTTGCTCGACAGTGTCGTGTCGACACTGATGATAACCAATTTAGGTCAAAACACCTATCTGTCGGTATTTGAAGTTGATGGAACGCACTCAAAACAAAAAACTTTGGCGAGGTCTAGGTTCAATTCTTTCTCATAACATTTTTGTATATTAAAAAGTACAATAAATATGTTATAATTTATAATTGTTAACATATAAAAATATTCGATTTTAAAATATTTTATATTTAAAATGGCAACATAATATTTTAAAATTTACTATACTTATTAGTAATGGAAAAAATCTAATTATAATATGAATTAAATACAAAATTGGTTGAGAATAATAATATTTTCCTTTAAGGTTTAACATACATTGATATTTAAAAATTACTAAATATGCATAGTATCTGGCAATATACAAGATAGTTGTCCCAAATAATAACTATGGTAATCAACATTATACTTTTCTCTCCGTGTATGGAAATATTACTTTGTATTTTGAAATATTATTACTATTACTTTGTATTTTAAAATATTGTTACTATTAGGTGCATCTTAAGTTTTGTAATTAAAAATGTCGGGTTTTTTATTTTTGCTTGAAAATTTGGAGGTTGTTTTGTTAATTTATTTACAACCATTAATATTAAATAATAAACCTAATTAGCTTACTAATTATAAGCCATTCATGCAATTTGTTTAAAGCTTAAATTTATAATTTATTTAATTTTATGCTTTCGGACTTGTAATTAATTGTTTAATTAAAAATTACTGAATGGTTAACGCTAAATTTCATGGAATATTTAACAATACTGAAACAAATATAGAAAGTAGAAATTTTGGGCTGCCATGGCAAAAAAAAATCCAGTGCACTGGATTTTTTTTTCTAACATTAAGTACTCCAGCTTAGTTTAACTAATTTTGGGCCGCTGATTTCAAAAATGTCATTTGTTTTTCTCTAGGACGTCTAGGATTTAAAATAATTTCCTAATAAAATGCTCTGCTCAATCACCTCAAAATGTAAGTTTTCTTGTTAGTATTTTAATTATTTATTAAATTATTTTGGCTTAAATTTATGAAGTAATTGGTATACGGCAAATAGATCATATTTATCCTAACAATATGACATTTTAAATACTAAAACTAAAATTTTAATGTATTTTATGTAAAAGAAAAACAACCATTATTTGACATTTTTTGTCGTTTATTTTAATTATTGAATTGAAAGGGCAACAAAGTATCCGCTATTTTTAATCCAAATTAAGCCCACAAAATTTAATGAATTGCATAATTTTGCTTTTTTCAACCTTAAATTTAATAAATCGTATCAAATATCAAATTAAATTATAGTATTATTCTGCTTAATCCTCATCATCGTCGTACATCTTTTGCTGCAAATTCCAGCAAATGTCTCCTAGCAATGAATCCAACTTCTTTCCGCTATACCCATATATGGTATAGATATCTACCAATGCTCTAGATTGGTGAAATCGTTCTCCATGTTCGTCAGTTCGGCAAATTTATCAGGATGAAAAAAAAAAGAATATGAAGTTTTGCCGTTAAAAGTTCTTTTACTTTACAATCTGATATTATTTTTGGCATAGTTATAATATTATTGTCAATTTGACATTGTCAGACAATTTAATTAAGATTTTCAGCAGAAGTATCATTTTTTAAATATAAAAAATACTAAATCAAATAAAAAAAATTAACTGTAGGTACATATTTAACGTGACCCTGGATGGAAAATAGGAAAAACTTTTATGAAAAATAACATTTTTTCGAAAAGTTAAAAATAAAGTTTTTTCTATTTTTCAATTCATCCGGGGACACACTGTATATAATTATTGTTCATGATTCATTGATAATGAAGTTAAATTTTGTGAAATTATTTACTGTTTCATATTTAAGTTATACTAAAATGCCATTAGCCGCCTGTCTAATAAAGTGATATTATTAATCTAATTAATTTAAATTATTTATTTGCTGAATATTTTATCAAAAATTTACATGCTTTGCAGCGTGGCTCTATTTTATACCGGGTTTAAAGGAAAATTTAGTGTCGTATTATTTTTGTCTCAGAAATATGTGGTATTATTTTGTACATGCATTTCAACGGCACCTTGTATATAACAACTTTGATTTGACCTACATTTTTGACCATAAATAAAATTTAATATTTCCCTTTCAAGTTTTATCCCCCTAACGAGAAGGTAATTAGAATTTTCACATACCTACCTATACGAAAAATTCCTTTACTTTGGTGTTTTTATTGGGCATTAACTTTGAAGTGCCTTTAATATTACGACCGGGAAACAAAAACTTCAGTAATTGCTTTAATAAAAACTTGCGCAAAAACGCATTTCTACCACTGCCGAAATATCGACGGAGCACTAAAGATAAATTAAAAAGAAAATGAATGTAACATGTTTGTTTTAGTTTGGGTAAGATTTTTTTATTGGCTTAATAAAAAGATAATATTTTTATTTATTAAAAAATAATTAAAAGTTTCATGACATATTTTAAATTTGGAAAATAACAGATCAGATCAAATAAATAAGTATACTATAGTAAACTATAGTTTTTTCATAAAAGGATAAATTTCGTTCGCAAAGTTTTAATTGCACAGCGAAATCGCGCACGTTATTTGTGTTTTGCGTTGCAAGTTAAAACTGAAAACTTTCTAAGATTTCTAAAAACCATCATTGCAAAAAAAGAATAAAATTACTGGTCCAACTACTTATTTATTTAAAAAATGATGTGCAGTTCATTAGCTGTTGACAATTCTTGATTGGAGCATAGTACATACCAAGAAGTCTGTATTCTTGGTAAATAAATAAAATTTAACCAATATTATAATCAAATATTTTATACCAAAAAAAATATTCTAATAATAGATAGGATAAACCACATAATTATTGGACACTTAAGAAATATTATTTTAATTAAAATTTATATATGCCGTTGTTTTAAAGATTTTCGTTTTTTTCTTATAAATATATAAAAAGGATGGTTTGTTTGTTTATTTACGTTTACTTAAAAATAAGAATATTTGAATTTTTAATAATAGTTTTATAAAAGCATGCAAAAAAGTATAATTCGACATTTTATATAGTAATTGGACACATGACCATAGTTATTGGACATACAATTTTTATATAAACATATATGTTTATATAAAAATTGTATGTTGTTATAACAACTTTACATCAAATAACATAAAATTGTATGTTGTTATAACAACTTTACATCAAATAACATAAATTGTTAAATATTTTTTAAAGATAAATTGCTGTTTTAGGTTATTTTTTTTTATTTCGTTTTTGTAAATACACAGTAAAAAATTTTGCCCGTGTAAATTTTTTAGTGTAGGGGTAAAAATATTATTATAGAGTTGATTTGTAAGTGTAAAAGTTACACTACAAAGTGCTTAAGCACTTATTAACTTTATTAAACACATGTAAAGAATATGAACATTATTCATTGGTACATTCACACTATTTATTATTAAAATACATCAAAAGGGTAGAAAAACTTAATGCGAGTGTTTATTACCCCTTAATGTGTTAAATAGTGACAAAATGTACACTACAGTGCATGCCAATTTCTTTGTTTGTTTTGATGTTACTAAGAGCTCTTTTTTCTTTAGACTACTAGTGCACATCACAATTAAAAGTTAAATTACACCAATAGTGGCAAAATAGACTGAAAAAACTGGTAATAACCGAAATGCGTTTTAAAATGTTTGGTTGGTACCTATCTACCTACGCAGTGCATATCCGGAGATACCGCGTTGTGGAAGTGTGGCATTTTTGTTCAGTTAGATTTTAATTACGGTGAATCCATAAGGGGACATTCTTATTTTTTGGTAAGTATTATACTTCCTTTTTCTTTAAGCCTTAATTCTCAATAAATACCAATATGTTAAACCGACCTATATTATATATCAATAATTTACGGCAGTAGGTCCGGTACTTGTAAAATTAATAATATAAATACATACACACTTATTTACTTTTTATTTTCAAGCGTAATGGTTGTTATATTAACCTATACCTACGTTTTTATTAATATTAGGGAAAATTTGTACACGTGTGGTAAATCCCCGACATACAGCCGCCTGACGCCTCTCTACCAATGGGATCACCCATTTTTTATAACAGAAAAATGGATTACTGATGAATTCTCAAGATAATTCATTGCTTACAAGTTGTCAGCCAGTAAAACATTGCATTGATCTAAAAATTTTACGTTTTAAGGAACCATTTTGCTTAAGCCAGCCATACGACTTAAATATAAAATTATATTTTAAAAGGCACCGATTTTGATAATTGTCATAGATATTTGTAAATGTTTCTCTTTATTTACCTTTTCGTTTTATTCACTACCACCAATAGGTTTTACTCAAATCATAGTGTTAATTTACATTAGAAGTTTGCACTAAAAGAGTAAAAGTACCTTTCTAAAATTAGAACTTTTCCAAATTAGTGTTAATTTACACTGAACAAAAGTGGGATTTTACCCAGGAAGTGTAGAAGTACACGATTTTAGGTAAATTAACACTTTTTGTTACAGTGTAAAATTACTTTATCCTCAATGCTATAGTGTTAAATCATACTTGCTTACTTGGGGAAAATTACACTAAAAATTAACTCTAATTGTAGTGTTAGAGTTGATTTTTTTTACTGTGTATATATTTTTTTAATAGTTACTTTATCAAAACATGTCAGATCCACACTAAAGATTAGGCACCCCATTACAAAACATATTCAAGACAAAAGGAAATTTGGCGCATTGATCGATAATTCGTCAGTTCCAATTAAATGTAAATCAACTGACTGCCGTAAATCATCGACGTAACACTTCGTATAATGGATGGTAGACTCATAAAAACCTAATTAAATCAAACTGGAACAAATGTTTCGCGTGTTTACACGCCGCTATAGCGCCTTAATTAATTCGGGAACGTTACTGTATAACTCGAGCCGAACAGATATACGTTCCAATTTCACACTTGCACCTCTCCGAGGAGCTTGGAAGTGGCTGCGACACCGCAAATCCCTTTAAAATAGGTGAGAAGGGAATTCCCATGAAATTAAGTTTCCATTCATTCCGACGTACCGCTGATACAATGTTATTGCACCAAGAATAGCAATAATTTAATCCGAAAGCCTGAAAAGCTACGCTCGGGTTTTAGGGCGGATCAAAAGATTTCAGTTTTGTAAGTGGCCACAGCATTTTATTGCTTCACCTAACAATTTCAATTGACTAAGTATGAATGCCTTTTTTATTTTACAAAGTACATTTCATATTGGGGAGATGTAGGGTAACTATCTCAGTCGGTAATAATATAGAACTACTTTATTTTGGGTCCAACATAGGACAAAAAAGTTCGCACGTTATTTTGTACTCTATTTGTATCCCGGACAAATGTTTTGTAAAATTATTATGTAAAATTGTCCCCTGAATCCGAAAAGACCGTCAAAAACTATAAAAGTTAAGCAGTTTTTGAGATATACTCAATTCCATATTATATAATGTATATTATATAAAATTGATTATATTTCAAAAACTGTTCTACTTTTATAACTTGACATTTTCGTATTCAGCAAATAATATTTCATAGGAATTGACTGCTAAATGTACTGGATAAAAATTGCTGTTGACGAGAATTATTAGTGGTTTCTTTTTCGCTATGACATATTTGACTAATTCATTTTTAGAAAGTAAGTAATATAGTGATTTCTTCGTCACAGAACATCTTGCGTAGTGATGCCGCCGATACGAGAGATTCTCGCCTCTCGTCTCGTCTCGTCTCGACGAGACGAGACGAGAGGGCGATTTTCTCTCGAAAAAAGGCTCGAGACGAGACGAGAGAATGCCCTCTCTCGCTCGAGATTTTCTCGTTTCTCTCGATCTCTCTCGTTCTCTCGATTATAAAAAACAATTTTTTTTTACATAAAAATTATAATTTTGCACATAAATGACGATATTTATTTGGACCAATGAGAACATTATTCGCATTTCATAATTAACAAAATTTGTTCCTGGTTAACGTTGTATTATTTTATAACACAACTTAACGTTAACCAAGAAAAAATTACTTATAAAATAATAATAATTTTTAAAATTTACCCTGTATAAGCACATCTATGGCACTCCTTATACTATTACAAAAACCCGTAGGCTTAATAAGCATTTCTTATTCAATAAACTTATCAACAACATGTGGTTTTTGAGGGCCTGATTACAAATTTGATATCCATTTTTTTTTTAAATAAAATGGCTGATCCAATATGACGAAAATTCGTCGTTCGGCTTTAATGGTTTGGGTAAAATTTAGTATTCAGATATTTATGGGGTCCCTGATTCAGAATTTGATATCCATTAAAAAAAAACAAAATTGCGAATTCAAAATGACGGACATGCGCAGTAGGTACAAGATGGTTGGATCTATGTGGAGTAGTTACATCATATATGCGCAGTAGTTTTCAGATGGATGGATCAAATGATTTGATCCATTAAAAACTACTGCGCCGATACAGGCTGTTTCTTTTAACTTGATACAGCCCAATATCTCGAGAAATACGCATTTCACGGAAAAATGTTTTAAATAAAAGGTTAATGTGACCAAAGGGGACATTATTTGGTGCTACCGCTAGCCACCCCCTATAGGGGGTATACCCCTCCTTAAGGGTGAAACGGGGGGTAACTTTGGAGAGTCAAATGGGATAACCATTTTTTTACAGATTTTGGTAGTACATAAAAAAATGAATAACTTTTATTTGAAACTTTTTCAATTTATCAACAGATGGCGCTGTAATTCAAAATTTAAGAAAAATGGGTTTCCCTGTAAAATGTATTATTTGAAACGTTTGAAAAACAAAAATGAACATTAAATCAACAATAGTCGGCTCTGAAAACAATTTATAACAAATGTTCGAAATGTCGTCCTTCCATTTCGACACCAAGTGGAGCACCAGCGTCCCTGGTCGGTAAACGTTTGGTGCGGCATTAAATGATGAAAATTACCGGAATTTTCTAGAAAACGATCTGCCAGACTTCTTCCTGTGGGGTTACTTGAAATAAAAAGTTTACGCTGCAATTCCTACAACTCGGGAGGACATGGTGGAGCCAGAATTCATTACCCGCATTCAAAAATGTGTCGAAATGAAAGGATGACATTTTGAACATTTGTTATAAATGGTTTTCATAGCCGACTATTGTTGATTTAATGTTAATTTTTGTTTTTCAAACGTTTCAAATAATACATTTTACAAGGAAACGCAATTTTCTTAAATTTTGAATTACAGCGCCATCTGTTGATAAATTGAAAAAAGTTTAAAATAAAAGTTATTCATTTTTTTATCTACTACCAAATTCTGTGAAAAAATCGGGTCATTTCATTTGACTTTCTAAAGTTACCCCCCGTTTCACCCTTAAGGAGGGGTAGGGGGTGGCTAGCGGTAGCACCAAATAATGTCCCCTTTGGTCATATTAACCTTTTATTTAAGACATTTTTCTGTGAAATGCGTATTTCACGAGATATTGAGCTGTCTCAAGTTAAAAGAAACACCTATTATAGGTGTATAATACTAGATTTAACTACTCCACATAGATCCAACCATTTGATTCAAATGCGCAACATTTTCGGCGTAAAAAGTCTTACTTTATTAGTGTGGTCTTGGCACACATTTTTTTTTTATTTCCAGTTTAAATTTCTATATAATAGTATATTTTTCAGACTATACTTTTTCTACGTTTCCAAAAAATACCATAAAAAAATAATTTAATTGGAAGAAAGTGAGGTTGGATCGGTCTAAAGTTTGTTAGATATTAAAAACAGAGATGTCGCCACGAGTGTTTATTCTGTCATCCGATGATAGAATATTTCATTCTGTAACACTTTACGGAATATATGTCATTCCATAGATAAAAGTGATATTAGAACGGTCAAATTCCGTAATAGGAGTAGAAAAAAAATATAAACGAACTCGTATTTCATTCCAAATAATTTTTGTATTCATACTTAGGTACTTTTACCACGAGAGAAACGAGACGAGACGAGAGAAAGGCACTCTCGAGCGAGAAAAGAGTATTCTCGACGAGACGAGAGACCCATTTTCTCTCGCTGCACGAGACGAGACGAGAGAAGGACTTTTCTCGTCTCGTCTCGTCTCGCGGCATCACTAATCTTGCGGAATAACAGTGTTTTAAAAACAGTGCATGATAGAGAACATAAAAAACTAATGGGAACAAAATTAATAACTTCGGAAAATACTTTTAACATACCACCCAAAAAAATATTAGATATATATATAAATCATCCTGTTCCTGTCTAAACATTATAAATGCTTCACAAACTAGAGATACCACACTTAATGATATTTGCAACAAACTATTTCAGAAGTCAGACCAAGGAATTAGTAGTAACAGATCAAGGAATTAGTAGTAACCTAGTAGAAAGAAATATATGAATTATATGATATTTACAAAAACGAAATTAAAAAAAATCACCTAAAACGTTGTTATGTTTATATAAAAATTGTATGTCCAATAACTATGGTCAATGTGTCCAATTACTATACTTTTTTCCATGTTTTTATAAAATTATTATTAAAAATTCAAATTTTCTTATATTTAAGTAAACGTAAATAAAGTTTAAACAAACAAACTATCCTTTTTAATTTTCTATTTAAGATTAAGGCCAAGAACACTGTATTAATGGAGTGTTCATGATTGAGGCATTGACCAAAAGTACCAATTTTAAATATTAAAAATACCAAAGTATATTGACATGATAATAAAATGTGTCAAATTCCAAACAAAAAAAAAAACTTATTCTATATTTATAAATGTTTTTTTATCTAATATTTTTTTTTAAAATCATGTAGGTACCCTGAAAAAGCTGTTGACCAGTTGCAACATTATTATTAATAATTCTTTTTTTTTACAGAATATTGGAAATGCAATTGCTATAACGGTGAAATTGAAGTAACAATTAGGTAAGTTCCGAAAAAAAAAATATTTTAAAAATTTAAATGTTAATATTAATATTTAATTAAAGAACATCAGGATTTAAGGTTAAAAAATAAAAATGTAGCATTTTCTGTACATAATTTTATTGCCTTTCTTTTTCAGTTTTTTAATTCCACCATTAAATAAACTAAGAACTGAAAGCTTGTTAAAATAATTAATTCATTAATTGAACTTTTATTTTAAATTAAGTTAAGTAAAAGTACACTAAACAAGAAAAACTTTTAAGTTTATGGAAAAACTGGGAATATCTCATTTTACAGCGTTCAGTGTAAGCATAAATTCTACAGAATATTTTAACATTAATAATAATATCCTTAACAAAATTTACATCATAATTACAGAAACAAAATATCCTCTTTACCAGAGTGTATTAATGAATTTTCGTTTATGCAATGCAGATGTTTATTAATTAGTATATTAAATAGTATATTATGTATTAAGTTTGATAAACGCCATTTTAGACACAAATTCAATTAAGGCACGAGCAAGCTTGCGAGCAAATGCCTAATTAAATGAGTGTCCAAAAAAGGTTATAAACGAATTATATACTATACTTTTTCCACGACAATAGAGTAACCAAATTAAATCGGCGCTTTTTAGGAGAACTCAAATATAAAAATGTATGATTTTAAGGTTATGTTTGTACAACAATTAGGTAGTTAGTTATCATTAGGTAATTCTGCACGTACCGAATTGGATTCTTTGACAAAACATGAAAATGCAACGATTTAGTTCTCGAATTTTATTTACAATTAAAAAAACAATAATTCACCATGATGACTTGGATAAAATACACACACTAACGTAACTATGTTAGCATATACCTAAGCGTTAATAATATAAGGAATAATAAATCAAAATCGAGTAAAAAACCAAAGTTTTTTAGTTTATACTTTCAACGCAAAAAACAAATAGCACAGTTCAAGACTGAGCCACTTTCTTAATTGAAAACGTATAGAAATTAGAATAGAAATAGAAAATTAATATTATTGGAAAAAAGACATTGTTATGGGTAACCACTTCGCATTAAGGCCTTGAAAACATTATTACTCACTCTTTGTACAATATGTCAGGTTAATTTTTCTGGAACATTCGGTTTTTTTACGCAACATGGAATTGTCATATTTTTAATAATTTTTGCAAAAATAATAAAAATCGTAAAAATTAACTACACTGCACTGTTAAACAAAAATATTGACTACTGTTTGATAATAATACTGGTAAACAAAAAAATCCAGGTCCCCAACCAACTGTTTTCTGTTAACTAATTGAATAAGTAGTTTAATAACAAAATCCTGTGAATAATTCAACCATAATTCTTTTAATTTTCAAATAGGACCTTATTTTTACAAACCTTTTTGTAGACCCAGAAAAGTACTTGTTGGAAATTGGGAACTTAAATAAAAAGAATTTTGCTTTATTAATCAATTGCCTAAACAAAAAAAATTACACAAATAATAAAAATAATAATAATAATAATAATTTATTTGTTGTAAAAAAAATAACACATTTCATTTTAATAATAATACAACAAAATGGACTGGAAGGCAAACGAATCTGATTGTTAATCCAGCCCAAGAAAAAAAGGTTTATTTAGAAACTAAATTAATGGTAATTAAAGGTTCATTAAACAATTTAAAAAAATATATTAATATCAAAAATATTGACTTAAGCAGAAACAAAAAACAAATAACATACTATTCTGAAATCATCAAATTATAAAGAAAAATGTACGTGTACTGATAATGAAACTAATTTTGTAAGAGAATATTAAAATAATATTATTTAACTTAAATTTAAAATTGTAATGGCCATAAAAAAATGTTCATCCAAAAAAGTAATAGTTGTTATCATATTAGCTGGCCATACACAGACGTTATTGCGCGCGGTTTATCGTGTTATCTGCAAAAACATATGGAAAATCATGTACGTGAGTGAGTATCGCCGCGCGAAATGATAGAACGGGAAGGGATTTCAGACGTGCTTTTCTCTGGAGTGTGGCGTGTCCACACGCCACATTCCGCGTCACGGTTTACCTTTGCTTGGCAAAATTTCACGTTGAAAATTTATACATGATCTCATGCAGTTTCAAACGACTCGATAAATGACACTTTTTGCCCACTCACATACGATTTTTCCTTTGAAACTGATATACCACGGCAATCACTTGCTAAATCATTTAAATACTTTATCAAGTGTATGGAACATGACGCTTTTTTGCCATGCCGTTCTTTCGTGCATACTAACCGCTACATCCCAACACGCCACGATAAACCGCGTGAAATAACGCCTGTGTATGGCCAGCTATTGTCATGGCAATAAGAAATACTTTATGTTTATATTAAATCTTTGTTGTACTTAAAATGTTTTTGTTAAATCTAATATAGATAATAGTTGTGTGGGAATTGCGCTTACATAAAGTAATGAGTAGTTGATTTAGTAAAATTTGTTCATTTAAGGCATATATGTCTTTTTTAAATTACTATCGTTGTAATAAAAATTAATTTTATATCATGTAGAAAATCTTTGTTAATAGCTTACGTTAAGAACAATAACAAAAATATTGTATTGCTATAAAAAGACTTTTTTAATATTTAATATTGTTTTGAAATGGTAACAAAATTTTTATTTCCCTTAAAAAGAGGGGGAAAGGGCCAGCGCTCTCCTTGGTGAACATAACTTTATAATCCACCGTCTGTGTTATATTCTTATTGATTTCACTTGTGCGAGTGAAGTTTTATAAAAATGATCTTTTTGCCGTAACAAAAGCATTGTTGGACGAATAGGGATCTTTACTTTATTAAGACAAACTACTTTTTTTGTTATATTTATTAAAAAAAATTCATAGGATATAAGGAATCCGACAATAATAACAGATATCTGGTAATATATTTTAAACACTCTGGACAGTTGTTACGAACACGTTACAAATTAGAATAAAGTAAGCAGAAACATAAGTTGCAGACGCTGAAGTCAGGTGAACTTGTTGTGGGAAAAGTTTTGATTGACTAAATAATCTGTAACCTTTAAAATTAACAAACTGCATACAAAATTGCATATAACCTTTACAAAACTTTCGGTAAAATATTTACCTTTGTTAAAATAATTACAAACCCTGGTATTGTATTGTATTTAGGGTATTTTTTCTGCATACCAGTGTAATAATATATTTCGGTAATCCATTGGACCATTTCCACTTGTTCCTGTATACATATAATGTCCCTAACGTCTTGTCTGTCCGTCTGTCACAGCACAACTGAAATAACGTACTTTTCCCAAACATGGCCGCGGATTAAACTCGCTTAGTTATTTTTTCCGCACCCTTTACATAATATGATTTAGAGTCGAGTTTACAGCTCGTGTTTAAAAATCATAATGCTTTGGCAAAAGTCAAAAGCAGCACATTGTGATTAAATTGCTCTATAAATCAAAATTGACTGTCATTTCATTACATTATTTTCTTTGTCTGTTCGGGCTCATAAATAAAAAGCTATGAAAAATGATCCACTTAATAAAATTTGAAGTTTGGCACAGCACAAATGTTCTCTAATATGAAAGTCAAATAAAAATGTTTTTTGTATCTACTATGCTACCAAAGTTTAATATTGTTGTTGTTTCGAGTTTTATGGAGCGAATAAACATAAACTATGATTTTTAACTCTTTAAATTGGTTATAAAAATAATACAAATTTATAGTTATTGGACAATTAACATTAATACTGTAAAAACAAGAGTTCTATAAATAGTTACCTTAAAGTCAAATCATTAGATGACGATGTATACAATTATAAATATCTCAGTCGGTAATAATAAAGAACTACTTTATTTTGGGTCCAATATAAGACAAAAAAGTTCGCACGTTACTTTGGTGGTAAGATTTTTGTTTTTTTGTTAAGAGCAGGGCTGTGTATAAATTACAATAAAAAATATTTCTAAAAAGTGTACAGATCAGTGTGTGGTATAAATGTGTTCTTCATGGTTTAAAAATTGTCACTTTAATGCGTTTTAATTTTAATTCAGAAAACAAACAGTAAAATGGCCAGTGTCCAATTTCTGGTTGGTAAAAAATGTAAATTTCTATTATTGGACATATGTCCAATATTATAATCTATTTGTATCCCGGACATTTACCAGCCAATTCTTATGTAAAATTGTCCCTTACGTCCGAAAAGACCGTCAAAAACTATAAAAGTTAAGAAGTTTTTGAGATATAGTCAATTCCATATTATATGTAAAATTGATTATATTTCAAAAACTGTTTTACTTTTATAACTTTTGACGACATTTTCGGATTCAGCGAATAATATTTCATAGGAATTGACTGCTAAATGTCCTGGATACAAATTGCTGTTGAAGAGAATTATTAGTGGCTGCTATTTCAGAAGTCAGACCAAGGAATTAGTAGTTACATTCAGAATCCAGAAAAGGGATGAGGAATCCGAAAAAGAAATATATGAATTAGGTATATAATATTTACAAAAACGAAATAAAATAATTACATAAAACAGCAATTTATCTTTAAAAAATATTTAACAATTTATGTTATTTGATGTAAAGTTGTTATGTTTAAATAAAAATTGTATCTCCAATAACTATGCTGTCGAACTACTATATAAAATGTCTAATTACCATACTTTTTTGCATGTTTTTATAAAACTATTATTAAAAATTCAAATATTGTTATTTTTAAGTAAACGAATTTAAAGTTTAAACAAACAAACTATCCTTTTTATATATTTATAAGAAAAAAACTAAAATCTTTAAAACAACGGCATATATAAATTTTAAATAAAAAATATCCCTTAAGTGTCCAATAACTATGTGGTTTACCAACCTAATCATTATTTAACCTATAAAAATAAAGGCAGTGTTGTAAAGAAAATGAACAAAAGAAATGCAATTTCATTAGGCAAGCATGCCATCTTTGTTCCACCAATAGGTAATATTCAAAATGAAATTTAAAATT